GAGATGCTATTGTTGTAGATAGTGTTTATTATTCATGTGTGGTCACTATTGGGAGTCTTGAGACTAGCGTAGATCTTCTATTTCTCGATATGGTCGATTTTGATGTCATTTTGGGTATGGATTGGTTGTCACCTTATCATGTTATATTGGATTGTCATGCCAAGACGGTGACCTTAGCCTTATCATGGTTTTCTCGATTAGAGTGGGGAGAGACTTCTGGCCATTCTACTAGCAGGGTTATCTCTTATGTGAAGGCTCGGCATATGGTCGAGAATGGGTATCTAGCTTATTTGGCTTATGTACGCGATTCTAGTGCGAAGGTTCCTTCCATGGATTCAATACCAGTTGGTCGTGAGTTTCCAAAGGTATGTCCTGCAGACCTGCCGGGGATGCCACCTGATAGGGATATTTACAGATTTGATGAATAGAGTGTTTAAGCCTTATTTGGACTCCTTTGTGATTGTGTTTATTGATGATATCTTGATCTACTCCCGCAGTCGAGAGGAGCACGAGCAGCATCTTCGGATTTTACTTCAGACCCTAAGGGACAGCCAGTTATATTCTAAATTTTCAAAGTGCGAATTTTGGCTGGATTCAGTCACTTTCTTGGGGCACGTTGTATCAGCAGAGGGCATTCAGGTAGATCCTAAGAAGATTGAGGCAATTCAGAACTGGCCTAGACCCACTTCAGCCACGGAGATCAGGCGTTTCTTGGGTTTGGCGGGCTATTATCATCGATTTATGGAGGGGTTTTCATCTATAGCAGCCCCGTTGACCAGGTTGACCCAGAAGGGTGCCCCTTTCAGATGGTCAGATGAGTGTGAGGCGAGCTTTCAGAAGCTAAAGACTGCTTTGACTACAGCACCGATGTTGTTGTTGCCTACAGGTTCAAGATCTTATACGGTATATTGTAATGCATCCCTTATTGGGCTAGGTACGGTATTAATGCAGGATGGTAGGGTGATTGTATATGCGTCACGGCAATTGAAGGTTCATGAGAAGAATTATCATGTCCATGACTTAGAGTTGGCAGCCATTGTTCATGTGCTAAAGATTTGGAGGCACTATCTTTACGGTGTGTCGTGTGAGGTATTTACGGATCATCTGAGCCTTCAGTAATTGTTCAAGCAAAAGGATCTCAATTTGAGGCAGAGGAGATGGTTGGAGCTATTGAAAGATTATGATATCACCATCTTGTATCATCCTGGGAAGGCCAATGTGGTGGCCGACGCCTTGAGTAGAAAGGCAGCGAGTATGGGCAGCCTTGCATTCACTCTAGTCGATGAGAGACCTCTTACATCAGATGTTCAGACTTTGGCCAATCAGTTTGTGAGGTTGGATATTTTAGAGCCCGGTTGTGTTCTAGCTTGTACAGTTGCTCGGTCTTCCTTATTCGAGTACATCAGAGATCGGCAGTATAACGACCATCATTCGTTGGTCCTTAGGGACACAGTGTGACATGGTGGTGCCAATTAGGATACTATTGGAGATGATGGAGTTTTGAGGATGTAGGATCGTGTTTGTGTGCCTAATGTGGATGGACTTCGTGAGTTGATTCCTGAGGAGGCCCACAGTTCCTTGTATTCTATTCATCCGGGCATCGCCAAGATGTATCAGGACTTGCGGAAGCATTATTGGCGGAGGAGGATGAAGAAGGATATAGTTGCTTATGTAGCTCGGTATCTAAATTGTCAGAAAGTAAAGTATGAGCATCAGAGACCTAGTGGGTTGCTTCAGAAGATAGAGATTCCTGAGTGGAAATGCGAGCATACACTATGGATTTCATTGTTGGACTCACATGGACTCAGAGGAAGTTCGATGCAGTTTGGGTTATTATGGGCGGGTTGACCAAGTTAGCTCATTTCATTCCTGTGGGAGTTACCTATTCTTCAGAGCGGTTAGTTAAGATCTACATTCACGAGATCATCCGCCTTCATGGTGTGCCCATGTCTATCATTTATGATCGAGGTACGCAGTTCACCTCGCACTTTTGAAGGGAAATACAGTGTGAGTTGGGCACGCGGGTTGGGTTGAGCATAGCATTTCATCCCCAGATGAACAGACAGTCTGAGCGCACTATTCAGATATTGGAGGATATGCTCCGCACATGTGTTATAGACTTCGGAGGATCGTGGGATCAGTTCTTGCCCCTTGCAGAGTTCGCCTACAACAACAACTACAAGTCGAGCATTCAGATGGCTCCCTATGAGGCACTATACGGTAGGCGGTGCCGGTCTCCAATTGGGTGGTTCGATCCGGGGGAGGCTCGGTTGTTGGGTACAGATTTGGTTCAGGATGCCTTGGATAAGGTTAGGACTATTCAGGATCGACTTCGCACAGCTCAGTCTAGGCAGAGGAGTTATGCCAATCGTAGAGTTTGTGATATTACATTCATGGTCGGAGAGAGAGTGTTGCTCCGGGTATCACCCATGAAGGGTGTGATGAGGTTCGGAAAGAAGGGCAAAATGAGCCCTAGGTACATCAGACCCTTCGAGATTCTGCAGAGAGTGGGCGTACAGGCTCGCATTTCCACCTAGTTTAGCAGATGTTCATCCGGTATTCCATGTGTCCATGCTCCGGAAGTATCATGATGATCCGTCCCATGTGTTAGATTTCAGCTCTGTCCAGTTGGACAAGGATTTGACATACGAGGAGGAATCGGTGGCTATTCTAGCTCAACAGGTTCGACATCTGAGGTCTAAGAGTTATCTTTCAGTTCGAGTGCAGTGGAGAGGTCAGCCCGTCGAGACAGCTACTTGGGAGTCTGAGTCAGACATGCGGAGTAGATATCCATACCTTTTCACCAGCCCAGGACTTTTCTCTGTCCGTTCGAGGATGAACGGTTATTTTAAAGGTGGAGAATGTGATGACTCGATAGGTCATCTTAGGTTTCAGAACCTAATTCTGTGTTTCGAGTTCTCAAATACCTCATTTTAACCTTTCTCGATTTGCGTACACAGTTCGGGTGTTCTTCCGGAAGGCTTATATGTTAAAAAACTGATAAAAATAAGCATTTTCCCTTTAAAACTCATTTGAGTTTATTTCAGTCAATATTTTGAGAAAATGGACCTGAATCCATATTTTGACGGTCCCGGTGGGTCCGTATCGTACTTTGGGACTTGAGCATATGCCCCAAATCGAATTCAGAAATCCCTACCTCAAGTTATTAACTTTTGTTGAAAATTGAAAGTTTTATTATTTTTAAGAATCGACTGATGTTTGGTCTTGTTGATACCGGGTCCGTATTTTGGTTCCAGAGCCCGGTATAGGTCCATTATTATATTTATGACTTGTCTGTCAAATTTGGTGAGAAACGGAGTTGGCTTGGCATGATTCAGACATTAAGTTGTGAAAATAGAAGTTTTAATGTTTTCTTAAAAATTTCATTTGATTTGGTGTCTGATTCGTAGTTCTAGGCATTATTTTGGTATTTTGTTTGCGCGAGCGAGTTCGTATGAGATTTTTGGACTTGTGTGCATAATTGGTTTAGAGCACCGAGCGCTCGGGTGAGTTTCGCATAGGCTACGAGTATTTTGAAACTTAGAAAATATGGTTTTTTATTCTTCAGCTGTTATCTGGTGTCATCTTCTTCGCGTTCACGAAGTTACTCTCATGAACTCGAAGAGTAAACAGGGGCAGGATATTTTTTTTTAATCGCGAACGCGGTAGCTGGGTCACGAACGCGAAGCAACGGGGGGCTTACCCTTCACAAACACGACCATCTTCTCACGAACGCGGAGCTTTAGGTACCTAGGGGAGGGGTCAGTTATTCTTCTACGCGAACGTGAGCATTGGCTCACGAACGCGAAGGCCAGGGGGAGCAAGGTTCGCGAACGCGAAGGAGGACTCGCAAACACAAAAGCCACTCGGGCTACTGCTCATCGCGAATGCGGCAGGCCCTTCGCGAAGGCGAAGAAGGCCTGACGCCTGTGACTTAAAACATAACAGTAGCGAGATTTTCCCAAAATTTCATAACCCTTCCATTAGAACACGTCCTAGGAGCGATTTTGAAGAGAAACTCAACATCAATTCATAGGTTTGTACTTTTTAACTCATTTTCTTCCATTTTTAACATCACCCATTAATTCCTAGCCCTAATCTTTGTTCTTTCATGGTAGAAAACTAGGGATTTAGGAAGAATTGGGGGGTTTTACTAATTGGGATTTAGACCTCAATTTGGGGTCGAATTACAAACTAGTTACATAATAGGGCTCGAGGGTGAATGGGTAAATGGATTTTGGTCTGAACCTCGGGTTTTGACCAAGCGGGCCCGAGGTCGATTTTTGACCTTTTGTGGAAAAGTTTGGGAAATTGGAATTTATGCATTTTAATTGATTCCTTTAGCAATATTTGATATTATTGAGTCAATTGTGGTTAGATACGAGTTGGTTGGAGGCGGATTCTAGAGGAAAAGTTGTGATTGAGTATTGAGTGGCCTTTGGAGCGAAGTAAGTGTTATGTATAATCTTGACTTGAGGGAATTAAGAACCCTCGGATTATGTGTTATTTGAATTTCATGTGAGCGGTGTATATGCGAGGTGACGAGTGCTTATGCGCCGCCAAATTTTCTATTTCCCTCTTTTTCCCCCTTTTCTTTAATTATCTCCTTCCCTGCCTTAATTGTTATATGCTCTAAATGTGTTTCCATTTTTTTTTAGCCAGACAGTAGTCTGGGTTGTGTTGTATTACCAAAAAAGAGCATTAAGGGGGGCTAAAACCTGACCTCCTAAGTATACAACTATGGTGAATCCATCACCTACAAATCAGAATTAGTTCAAACTGCCTCCTACTGATCACTATTTGTACAAACTTCAACTAACAAAAAAATTGGACTTTTCATACTTTGTCCTTATACTAGGCATTTCTCACTTATCTAATAAGAAGAGACCTTTAGAATTTGTAGGCAATTCCTAGTAAGTTTGACAGATTATACTCTGTTGAGTATTGGCAACAAGTTTAGCCAACGACTCTGCTACTTGATTTCCCTCTCGAAAGTTGTGTTACACAGTCACAGTGGCAAGTTGTAAGATGTCAATGGTCATGTCGATCACCATCTTGATTTTTAGGTTGTTAGTGTCTCTATTTGAAAGCATATTAGCGATGACCATTGAATTAATTTCGAGAGTGAAATTAGTGTATCTTAGTCGATTGCACCATTTTCCTCCAAACTCTACAGCCTTCGCCTCTGTCATATTGTTGCTATCACAAGTGATGGGTAATGATAAGGCCATCATTAAATCGCCATTGATGTCCCTAACAATACCTCTGATGCCAGCTTTGCCATTCTTTTTACTGTAGCTACCATCAATATTGACCTTGAGGGTACCCCTGGTAAAAGGTTTCCATAACACTTGCTTCCATGATTGTAATGGTCTGAGTCTTTCCATTCTGCCGCATAAAACTGGCCATTGAAGTTGTAAATCGACTCCAGGCATTATCTTAGAAATGACAGCCTTAATAGTCCATATAGTTTGATACTTCATATGATTGAGTTGAAATCTCTTCTGGTTGCCATATCTACATGAGTTCCTTTGTTTCCAGATTTTCCAGCAAATCACAGTTGGGGCAATTTGTAACATCAATTTGTGCACTCTGTTATTGGTCTTTTCACCCCACCATCGCTTGAAGATCCCTATGACTGGATTGGGCTGATGTTTGATTCCTAGGGGTTACCAATTTCATTCCAAATAAAATTAGCTATTTCGCTGTCCGTGAACACATGCTGCATAGTTTCAACCTACGCATTAGAAAAACAAGAGCATATAGAAGTAATGTTAGTACCAAATCTTCCAAGCATATCATCAAAAGGTAATTTTCTTTTAAAAAATCTCCAAGTAAGAAAGAAAATTTGAAAGGGGATAGAATTTTGCTAAACATTACTCATAAAATTATTCGTCTGCCTTTTCATTCTAATGGATTGCCAGGCAGTTTTGTTGGAGAAATGACCATCCTCAAAGATATTCCACACAGAAAAATCATCCATGTGGCAATTGCCAATATCCAAGCTGGTGATAATATTGATGATATTGATGGGAAGAAGTTGCTCCAGCTTATTGATGTCCCAGGTTTCATTATAGATAAAATTATTTACTTGGACTTTAGCCGACTTCATAGTTTTTTGAACCAGACTAGCTAAAGGACCATTACCAGTCCAATTGTCCCACCAAAAGCTAGAGTTTCCAGCTTGAATCTTCCAGTAGATATGCGGATCAGCTTTGTCCTTGATTTTCATAAGATTCTTCCACATGTGAGAGTCAGAGGAGATTGATAGTTTCTTTACTGGGTGAGCTCTTTTGTAGTATTTAGACCTGAGAAAAGTGGCCCATAAGGATGGTTGAGTTCTAATTCTCCACTACCTTTTGATACTAGTAGTTTTAATAACATCTTCCATTCTCATAATTCCAATACCACCCTCATCTTTAGGTAGACACATATTATGCCATGAACTCCAGTGGTAGTTATTTTTTCCCTCATTTGCACCCCAGAAAAATTTCGCAAAATGCTTTTCCATGAGTCTGATAGTGCATTTTGGTGGAATCATAGCAGAGAGTATGTATGTAGGCATTGACTGAATAACATGTTTGATAATGATGGCTCTTCCTCCAATGGATATCATCCTACCTTTACAGCCATTGAGCTTTTTCTCAATCTTAGAAAGCATGCCATCAAAAAGAGTAGTTGTTTTTCTACCATAATATATTAGGCATCAAAGATAATTGAAAGGGAATTTATTTTCCATGAAACCAGAGGTTTGTCTCATTCTGTTAATCCTTGTAGGGGAAGTTTTTGGCGTAGTAATGAAAAAGCTTTTAATATTGTTGACTTTTTTGCCCATAAGCTTTCTCATATCTCCTGATTTGTTTCTTGATAAGTTTGATAGAGGCATTGTTTTCTCCAGAGAAGATAACTATATCATCAGCATAAGTGAGATGATTAATGATAGGACCTCTGTGATCCATGGTAAAAGGAGTGAAGTTTGCCTGAGCAGTAAGACTATTCAAGGATCTTGTTAGCACCTCAGCTCCGATGATGAAAAGTGATGGTGATAAAAGATCACTCTGCTTAAGACCTTGTGATGAGGTGAAGAAACCTTTCTGGTGCCATTAATAATGACTGAGTACAAAACCTCATCCACCATACCTCAAATAAGATCAATCTATTCTTCTAAAAAAATAAATTTCCTCATAACAGACATCAAAAAATTCCATGACATTCTGTCATAGGCTTTAGCCATGTCTAGCTTGATGATCATATTTCCTCCTCTCTTATTTTTGTTGATATTCTGGGCAATTTCTTGTGCGGGCAGGATATTTTCAGTAATCATCCTTCCTTTGACAAATCCACTTTGGTTTTCTGAGATAAGTTTTTCAAGCAGAGGATTAAGCCTTCTCGCGAGAATCTTTGATATGATCTTGCTAGTAAAGTTGCTCAAGCTAATAGGTCTAAGCTCAGAGAAGTTAGTTGGGGCATCCACTTTTGGAATAAGGACCAGACATGTATGAGAAAAAAACTTAGCCATTCTTTTCCCATTAAAACAATCCTGGATGAATTCATGAATATCTTTCTTGATAATCTCCCAATATTTTTGAAAGAAAGTGCCATTGTAACTATCTGGTCCTGCGGCACTAAAAGAACTCATGTTGAAAATAACTTCTTTAATTTTCTCTATGTCAGGAATGGCAGTGAGGTGAGCATTGTCATCAGTAGTGATGCATTTGGGGATAAAATTGAGGATGTCATAGTCATTTAATTGATGCTTAATATTAAACAACTTCTGTAAATAATGAATCGTTGCTTTGGATATGTTGTCATCCCCTTCAACCCATCTATTTTTGTGATCTTTAATTCTATGTAGTTGAAGCCTCCTTCTCCTGTCTTTGATGGTACTATGGAAATAGTTGGTATTGGATTCTCCTTCTTCAAACCATTTTATTCTAGACTTATGTCGCAAGAGAGCATCTTGCATAATCATCCATTTGATATACTTAGCCTGGCCCTTGTTTAGTTTAGCTCGAGATGTATCAGTGTTGTTAGCCAAGTTCAGTTCCTCTAAATCATGTACTTTTGCTCCCCACATATGAACTTGCTCATAAATGTTACCTATATACTCTTTAGACCATTGAGAGAGTCTTCTACTAAGAAGTTTTAGGTTTTGTTGAAGTCTCCACATAGAGTTTCCATTTATTCGAGTCTTCCATACTTCCTCCATTAGTTGCATAAAAGAAGGTTGCTCTGCCCAAAAATCCAAGAACCTGAAATACTTAATCCTATTCTGGCTGGTTTTATAACAACTAATAAGAAGATGCATGTGGTCAGAACCTATTCTTGGTAGGTGTCTAACCATATTATTTTGAAAAAGTTGGCATTATTGGTCGTTAACAAATATTCTATCCAACCTTTTTCAGATTCTTCTTTGGGTTCCCAGTTGTTACACCAAGTGAACTTAGGCCCAACAAACCCCAAGTCCATAACTTCACAATTATTCATACAACTACTAAAATCCAAGCTTTTGTACATTTTGTGAGGTCTGCCTCCTCTTTTTTCATCTGGATCCAGGATAACATTGAAGTCTCCTCTGATGCACCATGGTCCATCAATTTGCGCATGAATAGTTTCCAAGCTACACCATAAGTCCTTCCTTTTCTTCTGCAATACATTTAGCATATACAAAAGTTAAGAAAATATTATTATTAGTAGCGCCATTTTGCATTTTGATAGTAATCTGTTGATCATCATTCTCAAACACACTAGTCTGGTTATTTCTTGACCACGTAAGACAAATTTTCCAATTGGTATTGGAGATGCAGTGCTGAAATCCTAAGAACTTCATGTATCTCGCAATTTTGTTCATACTAACAAACGGTTCCATGATGGCAATGAACTCAACTTTATTGATGGTACTAAATTTTTTTAGCCTTGGCAAGGCTTTTTTGGTGTTAACTCCTCTTATATTCCAGAAGATGGCACTTATCATGGAACAATGAGGGGGTTATTTTGATTTTCCTCCTAGAGGAACATAGGTTTTGTCTTTGTTCTTTTTTTCTTTCTTCTTTTTTCTTCTCCCACCATAAATAACTGGAGAGAATCCATCATCTTCACCCTCATTTCCTTGTTCAGTTTGCATTTGATCTTCAGGAATCACTACGGTGACTTTATTTAGGGAAGTGACTTCTATCTGTTGTTGAGGCACCTGTGAGCTTTGACCTCTTTTCATGTGATTTTCCTCTTTTTCAGCATTCAGATCAACTACCAAGTCAATTCCTCGCATAGCCTTGATTTCTGATGGGATACTCGTAGATTCATTAACATAATCCTCTAAGTTAGGACTTTTCTGGTTTCTTTTTTCCTGAATGTTGGTCGACTCATGAACTACCTTGTCTTATTTGTAGGATCGGGTTGCACACCGCAACAGGTGTAATAAGGGTGGATTGTTTTGGTGAACAAGGGTGAATTTTGATACCGATATTGTGATATGGTAGGATCGGGTTACGCACCGCAACACACATATATATACTCATTGTTGTTAATGTTGTTACGAGAAAATAAGGGAGGATTATGTGATGTATAGTGGGATCGTGTTGCACGCCGCAACAACCTGTGTGCTTATATTTCTGTGAGTTGTGTTAGTTTCATGGCACTTTGTTTTGAATTTAAGGATTGGTAATTCTGAATGTCGTTGGTTTATTTCCTGAAGTTGTAGCCATTATTTTCAAATTACTGCTTTATTTCGCTCTATATACCCATTTTGTCTTTATTATATGTATTGAGTACAGGTTGTAGTGTGAGTGACCCGCCTTAGCCTCGTCACTATTTCATCGAGGTTAGGCTCGGCACTTACAGAGTACATGGGGTCGGTTGTACTCATAATATACTCTACACTACTTGTGCAGATTTTGACATTGGTCCTAGCTGATCGAGAGGCGTAGCAGCTCGGACTGGTTCATTGGAGACTCAAGGTAGATCTCTTGGCGTTCGCAGACCTTGAAGTCCCCATCTATCTTCCCTTGTTTTTTTACTGTTCTTTCGTTCAAACAGTTATAATTCTTTCAGACTTTACTTGCAGTAAATTCTAGAAGTTCGTAAATTGTGACTCCAGATCTGGGTTGTAGTAAACATTATAGCATTTATATTATTCTGCATTCGTTTCATTACATTTCAGGTTATTTGACTTTATGTACTGAATTGAATAAAATTTGGATTAATGATTCTCTAACGTTGCCTTGCCTAGCAAGTGAAATTTTAGGCGCCATCACGTTCCCGACGGGGGGAATTTTGGGTCGTGACATACACCTGTTGAAATAAATAGTGAAATTACCTCTAATGATGAACTGAGAAGGAGCAAAAGGCCTAGGAAAGAATACTTTTCTTATGTAAATGATTTTCAAACTTTTCTTGTCGATAATGAACCATCAAAGTATTTTGAACTTATATCTTCTCTAGATGCTAAATATTGGAAAGAGGCAATAAAAGTTAAAATCGATTCTATTTTAAAAAATAATACATGGATTTTAACTCATTTACCTCATGGTGCAAAGCCTATTGGTTGTAAATGGATTTTCAAAAAAGTATTTAATCCTGATGGATCTTTAGATAAATATAAAGCTCGGTTAGTAGTAAAAGAATTTTCTCAAAAATAAAATATAGATTATTTTTGATACATTTGCACCAGTGACTAGAATTTCTTCTATTCGAGTTTCAATTGCCTTAGCTTCAATCCGTAAGCTTTTTATCCACCAAATGGATGTCAAAACTGCTTTTCTAAATGGTAATTTAGAAGAAGAAATTTATATGGTTCAACCTGAAGGCTGTATCATTCCTGGACAAGAAAATAAAGTTTGTAAATTAATAAAATCTCTTTACGGCTTTAAACAAGCTCCTAAGCAGTGGTTTGAGAAATTTGAACAAATCTTACTGAGCGACAGTTTTTCTGCAGTGGAGGTGGATAAATGTGCTTATACTAAAGTGGTAGACAATGATTATGTGATAATATGTCTATATGTTGATGACATGCTTATATTTTGTACAAGTTTAAATATTGTGCAAAGTACTAAATTATTTTTGTCTGCTAATTTTGATATGAAAGATCTGGGTGAAGTAAATACAATATTGGGAGTTAAAGTTATAAGGAGTGAAGATGGAATAATATTGTCACAAGAACATTATGATGAGAGACTTCTTAAGAAGTTTGAATATTTTAATGTCACATCTGTGAGTACTCCTTTTGATGCTAACTCTCAGTTGAAAAAGAATAACGGTGACCCAGTTGCTCTGTCTAAATATGCGCAGATTATTGGGAGTCTGATGCATTTAATGAATTAAGGCCTGATATAGCCTATATTGTGCGTACACTGAGTAGATATACTCATAGTACCAACAGAGAGCATTGGTCTGCATTAGATAGATTAATGAAATATTTGAGAGGAACCATGAATTATGGTATCCTATATAGTTGGTTTCCTTCTATTTTAGAAGGGCAAAGTGATGCAAATTGGATCTCTGATTCAGATGAGACAAAATTCACTAGTGGTTATGTATTCACCATTGGTGGTAGTGCAATATCTTGAAAATCAGCTAAACAGACGATCATTGCTAGATCGACTATCGAATCAGTGTTTGTAACTCTAGAGTTAACTGGTTCTGAGGCTGAGTGGCTAAGAAACTTCTTAGCTAATATCCCTTTAATAAAGGACGTATGCCTCTTGTGTATATACACTGTGATTGCCAAGCGGAAATAGCTATAGCAAAGAATAAATCTTATAATTGTAAAAGTAAACACATTTAATTGAGACATGATGTCATAAAACAGCAGTTGAGAGATGGAATAATTTTCTTTGACTATGTGAAGTCAGAGATAAATTTGGCCGATCCTCTGACTAAACGTGTGGGAAGAAAATTAATTCTTCAAAACTAAAAAGAAATGGGGTTAAGTTGACATGTTGTCAATAGAGATGGTAACTCAACCTATGTGATTGGAGATCCCATGAAATAGGTTTATATGGGTAATAACAAGTCGATATTGGCACTGAAGCACTAAAAGAGAGTGTTTGACTGCTACTAATTGAGAGGCTGAGTTATAACTCTTAATGTAATTCATAGTTCTTATGGATGGTGTATTTAAAAGAAATATACACTTGGAGAATTCACCTATATGTGAGTGGAGTGGGCCGCTCCTATGAGATTTTGGCCAAGTCTTTAGAGCTCTCATGAATAACCAGGCACGCTCATGGCCTATTGGGCGCAAAACCGCGTTGAACAGCAAAATTAACGGGGGTCAAAATGCGATTGATAAAATCTTTGATTTACAATAAGAATTATTGGTTCATAGAAATATTATATTTCACCAATAATTCTATGAGTTAAATTTTATTGGTCTAAATTTGGTTCATAGTCTAGAAGACACCAAACTTATTTTATTTGGACCATACAAATCCAGCAAATTTTATTATTCTATCTTTTTTATTATTTTGAAAATATGTGGAGATTGTGACAGCATTTTCAAAATAAATGAGTCCAAGTGTCATGCCTTGAACAAAGTATCACTATGCATGGAAAGTAACGTTGGAGTGGCAATTTGTAAAAGGAATTAAGGACAAGTGTATGGGCACTTGTCTATATTTAAAGCTATTTATAAGCCTATAAATCGGCACGCATTCCCTAATGATGATGCAACATAAATGCTTCTTATTTCTACTTCTTCTCTCCCTTACGCCTCTGTTCTTTCTTTCCTTTATATTTTTTCCAATTTAGTTGGTCTTATTCCTTTTTCTTATTTGCTGGATTTGAAAATTTAATTTTGTTGATTTTTGTATCCTCTAAATAAATAGAGTTGGGCATGTTTAATCTTGGGAGAATATTTTACATTACTGAAATAGTTTTTTATGACAGTGCCCAGCACAACTCAAGCCAATTCGTGTATCTACTTACAAATAATATTATTACAGTATTATTATCGTTATTTTTCGGGCAATTCATTCCACGTATACTGTGGAATTATACAAAAAGTAAGATCAACAATAGAACAATAATTCTATTTCTCCTAGTATAGATTATGGACCAATAAAAGGAAAGAATTTTTTTCCCAATCATGGTTCTGTTTTGCCTATATCAAACTAAGAGCATTTACTCAAACAAAATTTGGAACAATGCAATATTCTACTAAGCAGAGATGGATATAGAATTTTTAGGAAATGGATGCACTACTTAAAAAAAAGAGGAAAAAATTCAAACATCTCTATAACAGATTTATTGATTCCTTTTTTTTTTTGTTATAACGAAATGTTATTATAGAAAACATATATTTTAACATAGCATAAAAATTGGATAGTTGTTATATAGCGATAATGCTATAGAGAGGTCTGACCGTATTAAATGCAAATTGTTCCACATTCCTTTTGGTAAATAACTCAACATAGTGCACCATTCCGTCTTTTTGGAGCATGGATGACAACATTTAATATTGTACTAATTTTAAAAAATATATACATAAAATATCTAATTTTGCGAAAAGATCATGGGTTCATATACCGCATAATCTCCCTATAAGTTCGCCCATGCTACTGTAAACATTTGCTCAACCAATAGATGTACTAAATTTTACCCATTGCAACAAATTGTTGTATTTAGACGAGACAGTTTCATACATATCAATAGATGTTATGCTCCAATCCAAATTGAGAGATAAAAAGAAGAATAAAATGATTTCAAATCCATGTGGGGACAAATAAACAAGCATCTGCTGATCCTGTTACTAGTCTTCGAAAGTTATAAACTACCTATGATCTAATTTCAGAACTAATAAAAGGGGGAACCCAAAATATAATTGCAGACCTTAGCTTGTATAAATCTCAGCATAAAATAGTAACATTTGCTAGGTCAAATCAATCATATATATATAAAATAAAAAAATAAAAAAGTGAATAATAAGGGAAAGAAATTGAATGACAAAACTAGATTTGGAAAGAATCAAACTCACCAAAATCCAATCACTGTCTTTCATTGTAAGAGAAATCACGAGCAAAAATCAGTGTCTCCTCTTGGCTGGTCAGCTATTAACTTGCCAACTAGAATTAATTGAAGAAGCAAATCAGTTCAGGCTCATAAATTATATCACGAAGATCATATAGAGTTCATTTTAAAAAGAATAGGATATCATACCATATTAAGATATCAAGATCAGCAAGACTAACAATTAAGTAACATTTTGTAAAAATAAAAAGAACAGACGGATGTTAGTACATACATATATTTTTTTATATTTTTGTTTACCCATCTGAAATAACTGACCCGATTAATTTAGATTCGTGTCTAGTAGGCTTGTTTAAGGAAACGTGTTTGACTCTCTTTAAT